GCCTCGGGGGAACAGCGAAGACCTTGGTGTTCGTCAACGCCTCGCCAGCTGCGTATAATGCGGACGAGACGCTCATTTCGCTCATGTGAGTTGAGGGGGAAATTCGGTTGGATTTTATCAATTATTATTTCTATTTTGGAGGCTTTTATTGTTTGTTTGTTTTCGTTTAATTTGTTTTAATATTTGTCGGTGTTTTAGTATCATGTTTTTGTGTATTCTTAGGTTTGAATTTTGATTTATTTGATGTATTAGCGTGTTAATAATGTTGTGATTTGATTGCATACAAAATAAATGTGTTTCATTGGATCTGATTAGAAGAATTATGAGCATACTTGAACTTGATTTTTTATTTTTATTATATCAGTGTTAATATTTCTTAGTTGATTGTTTTCTTAATGATATCTATTGATACATTTATAGCTTCTTAATTAAAGGTTATTGATTCCACAATTGTTACTTTACTGGAAAGCCTTATGAAAACTTTTTTTTTTGTAGGTATGCAACGAGAATAAAACAGATTACAAACAACGTATGTAAGAATGCAGACAACAAAGAAATAACGAGGTTAAAATCGGTAAGTCTTATTTTTTCCAGTGTTCACATATATATTATTATTTCTTGTTATTTCATATATTTTTTTCAGTGTATTATGCAACTGTTTTTGTGTCTCTGAATATGTAATTTGTAGATGACTGATATTGTTATTTAATGAATCTTTTGTTAGATGGAAGGAATGTTTGATGTAAGTGGGTGCTGAAAATAAAGACAAATAAAGACCTCTGGTATTTGATGAATCTAGAATATGTAAATAGATCACCAACAGATAAATTGATATTAAATATACACGCAATGAAATTATAACACCAGTCATCTCATTACAAAATTCCGCCGATTAATATAAAATGTTCACTTCCTTTCACAGGTCATTAGCAAACTCAGAAAAGGCGAAGAAATTGATGAAGAGGCGTTGCAATGAGACTGCAATCTCCTGAATTAATGCAAAAGAAAAAAAAAACTCCATAAGAATATCTTCAACGAAAATGAAAGTGGGAGTTTATTTTTTTTTGGATATGTGTGGATACGCATGTACAAATTAATTCCCGGTTATATGTGTGACTAAATTAAAGTGGAGAATCGGTTTTTAATGTTTAATGAAAACGTCCCGAATAGTGTAGACTGTGCACTGTAAATAATTTTACTTAGAGAATTTGAAAAGTAATCCACGCAGAGCTTAATGAAAATTGTCATAATGACTGCTCAACTGTTGAGAATTCACTCTGGAAATAGCTATATTCCTTATAATTTTGAATATTGGTTTATAATTACTGCAGGAATAGGATAATATCTATGTATAGTATGTCTTCGTATCATATATACATTATGTTACTTAGGATACTACTGAACATAATACAACAATGGTAGTAACATATTTTCTTGATAACTGATTTCATTATTATTGTATTATCGGCTCTAAACTGTGTATAGAGCCGACAACTCTTAACGAAAAAAATGTAGACTATGTTTGTTATTGGAAATATTAAATGTTTTGTTATAGATAATCTATAATTAGAGAAACAAACTCTGCAGTGGATGAGCATAAATACAAAAATATTACTGTGATTTTAACCGGACCATATTTATGAAACAGAAGAGCTTAGCAGAGCGCAATTAGTGGGCGTTTTGTGAATTCAGTCAAATAATACCACATATTTTACTGCAGTTGAGTGTAAATTTAGTCCTAGGAGTTCATGGGGGAAAAGGTATATTTTCCCTTTTGTGCTATTTATGTATGATCTCTAATTTTATACAACCGGTATGTATAAATTTTTGTAGAATAACTTATTTTTGCATTTTGCCAAAGTAGAGGTATTTGTATGAAATATGGATGCCCGTTTTCCATAATGTAATCGTATCACACACAGAATGCTTATTACATAGCAACTATTTCGTCATCATCATTGTAAATATCATCCTCATGTACTGTTTCATTTTAGTGGAGTCGATAATGTCCTTGTGTGAAAATAAGGATTTATATGGTTAGAAATTATAGATGTCTAAAATAGATTGTGAGTATCTTGGCCAAATACAGAATTGGAAAATTGTTTTATGAGTTTTCTTATCCTTATGGTTGAAGGCGATGAGATATAAGACACATAGAAATGCGCACTTACACACTCTCACTCTCTCGCACACACACACACACTAAGAGAGAGACATGGTACTGAAGATATTGACAGAGATTGGAAAGGAGAGAAAGAAATAGATATATATGTATGTGTATGAATATGTATATATCAATATTTATATCTATATCTATCTTTCTATCTAGCTATTTATTTATCTATCTTGTTATCTATGTTAATTATGTTATCTTGTTAATTATTTATCTATATTTATATCTATCTATCAGTCTATCTACTTCTGTCTATCTATCTGTATCTCTTGTGTGTGTGTGTGTGTGTGTGTGTGTGTGTGTGTGTGTGTGTGTGTGTGTGTGTGTGTGTGTGTGTGTGTGTGTGTGTGTGTGTTTGTATTTATTATATGTAATATATATATATATATATATATATATATATATTATATATATATATATATATATATATATATATATATTATATATATTATACACACACACACACACACACACACATATATATATATATATATATATATATATATATATATATATATATATATATATATATATATATATATATATATATATGTATGTAGGTATATGTATATAAAATGTCAGACAGTGCATGTTTGAGTGTGTGTTTGTGTGTGTGTTGGGGAGGGGGGGTTGGTGCACACAGTGGCAGAGAATAGCTTTTATTTTGGAGCCATTTGGAAGGATATAATCCTCTAAAATAATGACCAGTATACGATGCTTTTCTGTCAAAAAACAGTAGCATCATTACCCATTTAGTCTACATTCTAATAGTATTTGCTTATAAAATAAAATGTTCTTTGATATTACATATTTTTTTTTTTTGTTAATGTCTTTACTCTTAAATCAAAACAACTATAATACCAAATAATGAAAATAACTTGTATATAGAGTGTATTTCCCAAATGGTTAGACAAACTATGTATCTTAAGGACTGTTTATGACTTTTAATGAAAAGGATATAAGAACTATAAGAACTATAAGAATTACCTATTAAAATATCAGCTTTTCATCCATTTATCAATTTATAGAAGAAGAGATCGATCCGGCAAAGAAAAACATATATCCGGAAGAAAATGTGACATTCATATCAGTCTAATATGAATGTCTCATTTTAACATGCATAAGTATAGGATTTTATGAAGGTTGGGAGTAACCATGTTGGAGAATGGGTTAGGCTCCCAGACTGTTAAAGAGAAGAGGATTTATGTTTTGCACTGCACCTCACAGGAATGCACTGTTTACTCTATTGTGTGAATTGTTAAGCATTAAATATTGGATAAACAAAAGGTTAATAAAGTGAAATTACAATGTAAAAAAAAAAAAAAAAAATTATCTTTCCCAAGGCCAACCCAATTAGTGTGATTTAGAGTGAAAAAAACACAATCCTTTCCAAGGCCAACCAAATGTAGAGGGATATCACTTATCAATAAGATGTAATATTTAGAGAAATGAGTTGTCTCACATTTAACTCCTTGCTTTCTTACATAGATCTACAATATCATTACTTGCTGGGACAACAGACATACCTATCTGGAAAGACCATAAACATTTCATGTCTCTTATATTTATTAATTAATTTAATGATTTTACATGCTTGATTAACAAAACTGTGAGTAATAATATGCTACAGAACAATTAAATTAAATTAATGATAATCAAATTCCATTCTTAAATCCTTGCAAGGCTTGTTGCCAAAAAATGGGCTGAGAGGGCTGAATAATGACATTTGAGCATGTGAAACTGACAAACATTTACAAGGATATAAGCTGGAGAAAATATTACTCATAATACAACTTTATACAGATCACTTGCTGGCAACAGCATCAATAATCATAGAACCCCTTAAACAGAAACCATTTATTATTTTCACAATATGTTTTTTTTACTGTTGATGAATACACAGTATAATCAGTTTTAAAGAGTGACATTTTGTAGAAGGTCACTGTTAGTTTATACATATCTGTATAAAAAGACATTTCTAATATTTAATAAGGTACTTAAACAACATAATACCCTGAATATCTGGAAGGGAAATCATAGAGAAAATATACATCTTTTTTATGCAGTTTAGGATCAGAAATGATATCGGTCATAACTAAAATTACACACACAAAATATGGTATATGAAACTTTTGTCTTTTTTCTTTCCTTTTTTTGCATAACATACAAATATTGTTATTTGGCACAACATTATCACTGGTAAGTACTTAGCTCCCTCTCTCTTGCCACATTATTTCAGTTACTCTAATCTTATAAAAATAATCCAAATCTATAGGTATAACTCATTTCTTTGTTCTTGAAACTGATATATTACATTCTATATCATTTCAGATATCAAATGAAATATTCTAGAGAGAGAAAACAATATAGAAAGAGAGAGATAAAAAAAAAAAATCACATATGCAGGAATAAATTGCAAATTTAGAAAAATTCTAGACAGCTGTAACTTTCAATGAGCAGCAACAGTCAAATATCAATTTCATTAACAGCAAACAAACATTTATTTTATGTTACAGAATATGGACAAAGTTAGTACGTTCGTATACATATCTCACTGGGTAGTTTCGGCAACTCTCATTCATCGACTGGAAGAACCACGAACACAATCTTGATGAACTAATTTCTCTTCCTTGCATACTTGGTATGAATGAACACAATATGAACACAGACTGTACTTATACACAAGCTGATTGGAGACAGTAAAAAACTGTTTATGCAGGGATGACATTTGTGTTTTTGAAATTTATAAAAAAAAAATTATATTTTTTTGCTAATAACCAAACCTAAATAGATTTTTTTGGTGATTTCAAAAATCAAAATGCTTTCAGTCATATTGCATGATAAAATACACATTATTTGACAATGCATATTTTCTTGATAACAATCTTATCTAGTCACAAAAAATCAAAAGGCACTTAGTCACCATCCGTATTCTCACAAAAATTCTGTTAAAGGGAAGACCCTCCTCTACGTGTTTTATTTAAGATTTATCCTACTCGAAAAACAAAGTCAAAATTTACAAGGATCTTGTCCAAAATATAAGATGGCACCATGAATTTTCAGTATAGCTATCTATGGTTTAACAAGGTTCACTGTGATGCATATGAAACAAGGTATAAATGAGAACAAACAACTTGATATAGTTTGAGTAAATCTTCTTCTGAATTACATGTAATTCTGATGAAAATTTAACCGATGTATGTCAGTTACTTATGCATTGTAAGGCTATCCATTCTCGTTTTTGTCTTTTCCAACAACTATTGTCTAACTGACCACATTTCTACAGTATTGTTATATTATCAACAGAGGAATCTGGTTAAGCAAACCCTTAGAAACAAAGAATAAATAAAAGTACATCTTACGCAGCATATTACAATTTCTCTTCTTTTCTTAAAAAAAAAATGTATACCTGAATTATTTTCAAACACAGTATATGATATGTCTTGGAAATGAATGATACGCTATCTGACAGAGACAAAAACACACACCCACACACACACACACACACACACACACACACACACACACACATACACACACACACACACATACACACACACACACAAATACACACACACACAAATACACACACACACAAATACACACACACACAAACACACACACACACAAACACACACACATGCACGCACGCACAAACACACACACCCACACCCACACACACGCACGCACGCAAAAAAAAAAATAATAATAATGCCACTTTATGAGGACTATATTATTATTAAAGATTTAAACAAGTTGTATAAATCTGTATGAAAAGATCATAGTGCAAATCTCAAAAAAATTTTCTGAAGTGCTGAAAAACTAAAGACACTCAAGTGCAACAAAGCAATCAATGAGTTGGAAGGTGATTAACACAGTTTTGCTGGGGACACATATCAAACAGAGGAGGGTAGTGAGGCATAACACTGTGGTTGTAAAGATGGGAGTTATATTGGTGAAGGAAACCTGTCATGGCTGCTGGGTGATTGACACCTCCTGAGGTTGGGATCTGGGTGGTGTGTGTGGGTGCCACAGTGCTCGCGACTGTACCTGAGTGAGCAACTGGAGGGGAAACCGTCTGACCTGTGTGGAGAGCGACACCACTCCCACTCGGTGTAACTCCGTGGGAGTGTGGTGCCAGGTGTGGGTGGTTGTGGGAGTGCTGGTGGGTGTGGGAGGGACCCACAGGTGCTTGATGCATCTGTGGGGGCTTGGGGGTGCGCCTGGATGGCAAACGGGGATTGCGGTGAGGTGGTGGTCTTCCACGGCCTCCATTTGCCCCTTGACCTGTCTCCTCTCCTGCACCTGTCTCCTCACTGTGGTTGGTTCTCATGTGAGTTTTCAGGTGATGTACCTAGGAATAATTATAATTATTGTAATTATCAAATACACATGCCTACTCTCTATTTTCAAAGCAAAATTCTATCATGATCATAATTTCATAAAAGAAGTCTGAATTCTAAATATCAGTTACAGTCATCTTCACAATCTCTCTCAAGTGCAGCACGTATAGATATCTGTAGCAATAGTTATGAAGATTGAACCAGCGTACATGTATAAATGTGGCCCTGGCCTTTACTCTGTTTTACATGTACTAATCCAAATACAAGTAAATACAGTCAGACAAGCACCTTGAGTATTACCTGTGAAAAAGTAAGAAGACAAATGCCACAACTATAAGGTCTCTCCCCCGTGTGTCGTCTCATATGACGCTTGTAGTTTCCAGATTCAACAAATTGCTTGTTACAAACATCACATGTGTAACGTAGTTCCTTGTTATGGTATCGTAAATGAACCTATAGAAATAGAGAAAAAATATATAATAAAATGATAGGTCAATAGTAACTTAAGATGTAATTCATATAAGTAGTAAATGATAAAATCTTTGTCACTTCCATCACCATTAATATCAGTATCATTAAATTGTCAGTATTGTATTAATATTACAATACTAAATGACCAATATCATAATGTATAATTTTTTACTGCATCTTTTATTGTTACTATTCTTCGCATGAAAAAACTGACCTTGAGATCATGAGAGCGAGTGAATTGTTTGTCACACAGCTGACAAGGGTATGGCTTCACTTCATCATGCTTCAGTCTGTGCCTTCGAAGATCAGTGCCTGTTACATATGTAGCTCCACATATATCACAAGCATAATCTCTCTCTCCTGTAATTGGCCAAAAATACATGAAATTTTCAGTGCAGGTTTCTCTATAGCAATAATCACTATGAATATCATGCTAAATGCTAAAATTATGAATTATACTTTTTATATATGTCTAGAAAAGTTTGAGTTCTATTATTAATTAAATGAAAACACAAAACATTATCCTAATACTCCACTTTCAAATCAATGATCAGTCTACTAGTTTCTAGCAAATCAGGTATTTAGAACTCTGACTATCACATTTCTTTTCATTATAGTAACTAGTAATACACATAAAAAAAAAATAAACTGCTAGGTAAACAACAAATACTATCCTTTAGAATATAACCAGTGACTAACCTGTATGAAGTTTTGTATGTCTCTTGAGAGCGTTGATTGCAAAGAAGGACTGGCCACAGATCTCACATGTAAATCTTCTCTCTCCTGTATGGTAGACGACGTGCATTTCCATATTTGCTTTCCGACTGAAAGCCTTGTGGCACATAGGACACTCAAATGGCCTCTCTCCTGAGAATAAAAATGACATATTCAGTGTACTGTAATAATATTTTGTGAAACAGTTACTAAACTCTGTACATTCTTGCAGTATCTGCATACTTCATATACTGAATGTAACAAAAACTGAAATACTAACAAAAATTTGGATACTTAATCCAGACTTACTAGAGTGGCATAAATGGTTTAGTTATATCTAGAAACTATACTGACAATAATTCTACAAAATACTTAATTCAGTAAAAAAAAAAAAGGGTCTGATTTTCAGAATAGTTTGCAGTTATTGCAGACATATCTGAAAAAGAACCACAGGCCTAACTGAGCTTTTAGAATTTATTTGCAGAGATTAAACGAGTGTTTCCTTTTATGCCGCAGCACAGTCCAATATCCATAACTCTACCTTTGTGAATTCTCATGTGTATCCGTAAGTTGGTGCGTGAAGACAAGACCTTCCCACACATCACACACTGGCATGGATTAGGACCAGTTGTGTGTTTGTGCCGCATATGGACTTCCATGTGGTTTTTTGTAGTGAAGAACTTTTGGCACTGAGTGCACTGGTACGGCCTCCCATTGTTGTGCTCCGAACGCTGGTGCTCCCTTAGTTCACCTCTGAAAAAGAAAATGCTTTTTTAATATGATTGTTTTAGCAGATTAATGAAGCTTAATCTTTAACCCATTCGTACTGGGTAAAAATGAACAAAAAATGGGTAAAATCCTGTGCTCATTTTTTATATTTTTTTGTGAAATGTCTCTACACTAGATGGCTCTGCCTTACCTGATTTCACCTTTACTTGAATTGGTGGGAAAATGTATTTTTACTAGTGCTATGAATATCGAAGGTTATTTTTATTATAAACAATAGAATTACTCTAATGTTATAAACATTAGTAACAGCAAAATAAGATAATGTAAAATATTTTCGTAAATTAAAGAAAAGGGTAAACAGGCGAGACAGGCAGTACAAGTACAAGTGTAGCCATCTATGTGTGAAAACAATTAAACAAGTAAACAGACAGTGGGCACGTCATGTATATGTGACACCCGGCGCGAATGGTTTAAGAAATAAAATGTTGCTGGGTAAATCTGAACCTCATGGAATCCAAAAATTTACATGCCAGAAAATATACTATATTACAGTTAAAACACAATGAAATCTCAAGTTCCAAAATAGTCTCTCCTGAATTAATAAGAGAAAATTCATAATTTGCTATGTATGTAAGTTATACACTGATAAACCTTCAGCAGATTCAGCTGAACATTATTTATTCTTAATTTACCTCATCTACTCCTGTCACAATGACTCATGTTAACATTTCCAACTTCTTTTAAAAAAAAAGAAGAAAAAGAAAAAAAAGAAGGTATATTATGCCATGATATAACAAAAATACTCCATAGATATGTTAACCCATTGCCGCCGGGGAAAATGAACAAAAAATGGGGAAAATGCTGTACTCATTTTTTATATTTTTGTAAAATATCTCTGTACATAGATGGCTCTGCTAGTCCTGATTTCACCTTTCCTTGAATTGGCAGGAAAAAACATATTTTTACTAGTGCTATAAATATAGATGGTGTTATTTTTAACAGCAAATTAGGATAACATTACATACTTTCGTAAATCAATGAAAAGGGCGAACAGACGAGACAGGCAGTACTCGTAATTGGCTCAATGGATACTTAGTACAAGTGTAGCCATCTATGTGTAAAAACAATCAAACAAGTCGACTCACAGTGGGCATGGCATATACGTACATGCCATCCCCGTCTCTGCATACCTTATCTGATTTCACCTTTCCTTGAATTTGTGGGAAGAATTTTTTCTTTTTTACTAATGCTATCAATATCAATGGTGTTATTTTTATCATACATATTATAATTACTATAATATTACTGACAATTGTAACAACAATATAAGATGACCTAAAATATTTTAGAAAAGGGTAAATAGATGAGACAAGTAGTACTAATAATTGGCTCATTGGTGACTTAGTACAAGTGGAGCCACCTATGTGTAAGTAAACTCATAGTGGGCATGGCATATATGCACTGTCTTAACAATATGACTTAACAATATGATACAATGACGAAAATGGTTGGAAAAAGTGTTGCGAGCTTGACCTGATATTGGTATGTCTTACAGAGGTACAATTCGGGAAGGGGAAGTCGTTTACACAAGGATGCCGCTAGCGCAAGGCGCAATCACTCTTGTGCCATTATTGCTTGGGCAACGATGATATGATCTTAGGGGATGTCTATGCCCATGGCTGCCCAACTGCCCAAACATTCTCAATAAGACTTATATCTGGCAATTTGAGTAGATGTGGTACAAAGTAATCTCGGGGTGTTGCTGAAATCATTTTCACAACACTGCTCTTGTGGATGGGGCTATTATCCTGGACGAGGTAAAAGGACTCTGACTTGAGGAACACCATGGCCCTCGCTGATAGTAGAAACATCTTGTCCAGGATTTACACGTAGCCATACCCTGAAACTCCCTGACACCACTGTTTTGAGCATCCACTCAAACTGCCCAGTGATTTCTGACAGTCTGCAAGTTGTTGCCAGTAGAACAAAAGGGGTTCGCATCCCTTATAGTAAAAAAGAAAAAAAGAAATATAAAATAAATAAATAATGAAAATAAATAATTAAGAAGAAAATGACTAATGGTACGGGGACGTGGCACCAAACTACTGGCCATGCCCCCTTCTCAAATCCAGTTAGATGGAAGGGGTGTGGCCACTGATTGTCAAATGGTTTTCAATATCTCTTGATATTCATGCACTACAGAGCAAGCTTCCTATTTGTCTTTCATGTAGCACATTGATTTATAGTTTTGATTTATATGGGTGCTCACTTCTGGCCTTTTCTCTGGTGGATCCAGTTGCTTGGTGTTGCTGGATCTACAGAAACATAGTTGGCTTCGAAACCCCTAATCTTGATATTTCGGATCTTGATAGTCCCATAGAATAAAGTGTAATTGTGGCGATACAAATGGTCTATGAGGTCTCCATTGCTAATATTGGCATGATACGAGGCCCTAGCCATATTAACTCTGAAACACTATTCGCCTACATTATGAGCCTTCACCTGTTCTGAGTTTTAAAAACAAGTACCAACATTTCCGAATCAACTCCGAGCGATCGTTTTGGTTTCATCTACTCCCAAGTAAAGATACTTCTTTTTAGCAAGCGTATAGGCCAAGCCCATCAGTTTTGGGTTAATAATGATAATAGCAGTAACAGAAATAATTATTTTCCATAAATTCAAGGAATGTTGTGAACAAGCTTTTTGTGAAGCCACCAATGTATACAAAATAAATAGCCATGGTAGACAGTCCATGTACATAGTGCCACTGGGTTATGGAGAGCCAGCATCAAAATTATGATTCCATGAAGCATCAATATGACTGCAATCATCTATATTACCTGCCACTTTCATAGATACCTCATTTGCAGACATTAATAAATATTTGGTGGTACTGTGCAATTTTGGAGGAAGTGGAACTTTGAACAAATTTTGCTGAAAATATGACACTGGTGATTTTACCTTAACCTTCTATATTCCTCACATCATAATGCTTATATCTATGGATTTTGACATACCTGTTAAAAAATATGACACGACACACACGGCACTGCAGTGGGCCAGGCCTCCGCTTCCCAGACCCTTCTCCATCTTCCTCACCTCCTGCATTCTCGCCACATTCCTCCTCACTGTTGGGAATATTAGATTTTTATCTTTAATAAATATCAGGCCTTCACTGAGAGAGAGAGAGAGAGAGAGAGAGAGAGAGAGAAATTTTGCCTCACCTTATTGCCTACATACAAAAAGCATAAAATGTTCATACTTTAATAAGGAAGGGAGGAAGAGAGGAAGGAAGAGAAGGAAGGAGAAAGAATGTCTTTGATATAGTCTCCTGGGAGGAAGTGGGAAAAATAAATTAGGAAATTGGAAGCATTTGTTTCACACTAGCACCAATGCAATAGCCTAAGAAATGAGTATATTACATAAATTGTGAGATGAATGTGTGTCATAGGGGGTTGGGTATATGCCATACATGACAACAATGCTTATCTTATACTTCCTACATTCATCCATATAAAAAATAGGAAAAAACAATGCAAGGAGGCAACCAGCGGTTTGATTCAGGGAGAAAAGGAGATACAATGGGTATGCTGTATTTTATGGGAATTCTCATATGAATTCATCATATTATCGTAGTAAAAAAAGCCACCATGATTGGCTTAGGGAGATGAAAGAAGCATAAGAGGATGAGTGAATGGGGGTGTGGGAGGGGAGGTGTAGCTGGAAACAATTAAGCAGTACTTCCTCATAGTCCCTAACAAAAAAAAAAAAAGATCTGGGAAAGCAACTTGCCTGTTTTTTGATAGGCTATGCTCAATTGAGCCAGCTTAAACTGAACATAAAAAGTAAAGATATACTCAACTGGGTGCTATCAGACTTTAAGTATGAAGTTGACCTTCCTGAGTTCATGTTTGAATAGATTTTTACAGTGTTACAATTACTGCTAATTAACATTACTATTACTGACAAAATTTCACTTACTAAGAACCTGTAACTCTAATTAATATTCACTTATTCATAGAGAATGATGATAAAAAAAATCATATTCATGAAAGTTTGGTGTATCTAGG